AAACCATCATTAGTCACAGATGATAACTGTGCCTATTTTTGTAGAAGGCAAAGAGAACCACATACAAATTATTTAGAAATAACAAGAGAATATAGGAAGATGATTGGATGTAAGATTAATACGTAACATGGATTGCATTTTTGTACACCAGAAAAAAATTGAAAGAAACTTAGTGTTTAAAGATACCACTTAAGATGGTCAATTAGAGGCAGCTGCAGTCACAGCACTTGTGCAGACAAAGGAGAGCAGCAAGTGAATTCACCACCTTCATCTGAAGTACCCAGGTTCTCGCATTGGGACTGACTAGGCAATCAGCTCAACCCATGGAGACGGAAGAAAAGCAGGGCGGGGTGATGGCCCACCGGGAGCAACATGGAGCCAAAGGAACCCCCACCCTTAACCAAGGGAGGCAGTGAGTGATTGTGAGACCCTGCCTGGGAAACCACACTTCTCCCACAGATCTTTGCAACTCGCAGATCAGGAGATCCCCTCATGAGCCTACACTACCAACACCTTGGATTCAATACACAGAGCTGTGTGGACTCTCAGCAGAGCAGCCACTCCAGCACACACAGAAGCTTTACATACCCCGGCCCTGGGATCCCCCACAAGGGGGTAGATCCGTCTGTACATTCCCCTAGGAAGGGGACTGAATCCAGGAAGCCAAGCAGCATCATTCTGCAGGCCCCACTTCCACAGCACCTCTTAGGTTGGGACCTACTGGCTTGGAGTTCCTGCATAGTGGCAGTAGGCTGAGTCTGCCTGAGAATGGAGGGAGTTTCAGGGCCTGGGGGCAGGAGTGGCTGCCATTTCTGCAGTTTGGTCAGCTCAGTATTTCAGCCTGCCAGCTCTGGACAGTCCAGGCAGTCTGGACTAGTCCTCTACTATGCAGCACACCTGCTTTGTCAGATTGTGCCAGATGGCTTCTTTAAGCAGGACCCTGATCCATTCCTCCTCACTGGGTGGGGCCTCCCTGCTAGAAGCCCTCAGTCACTCCAGCCAGGCTTATATGGACAGATTTCTGATCTTGCCCTAGAATGGAGCTCCTAAGGGGAGAAGTGGCCACCATCTCTGCAGTTGAGTTGAATTGGCTGTTCCAGCCTGCCAGCTCTGGAGAGTCTAGGTGGTCCAGACAAGGGAGGATCCCCACCAACACAGCACACCTACTCTACCAAAAAGCAGCCAGGCTGCTTCTGTAAGCAGATCCCTGATCCCATTTCTCCTGACTAGGTGAGAACTCCCAACAGGGATCTCTAGACACCTCCTATAGAAGCATTCAGGCCAGCAACAGGTCAGTACCCCCCTGGGATGGAGCTTCCAGAGGAGAAGTGGGCTTTGCTGTTTTGCAGCCTTCAGTGGTGATACCTAAGTTACAGGAAAAATCAAGGCAACTAGAGTCTGGAGTGGACCCCTAGAAAGCCGCAGCAGCCCTACAGGTGCTAACAGTCAGTGGTCTGACTGTCAAAAGAAAAACAGAAAACAACAACAAAGACCCACAAAAAAACCCACTCAAAGGTCAGCAACCTCAGAAAATCTAAGGTAGATAAGCCCACAAATAAAGAAAAAATCAATGCAAAAATCCTGAAAACTCAAAAAGCAAGAGTGCCTCTTCTCTTCCAAACGACCAAAATACCTTTCTAGTAATGACACAGAACTGGGCTGAGGCTGAGATGGCTGAATTGACAGAAGAACACTTCAGAAGGTGGGTAATAATGAATTTTGCTGAACTAAAGGAGAATATTGTAACTCAATGCAAAGAAGTCATGAATCATGATAAAACAACACAGGAGCTGATAACCAGACCAGCCAGTGTAGAGAGGAACGTAACTAACCTGATGAAACTGTAAAATACAACATGAGAACTTCACAATGCAATCACTAGTATCAATAGCAAAATAAACCAAGCAGAGGAAAGAATCTCAGAGCCTGAAGACTGTCTTTATGAAATAATACAGGCAGACAAGAGTAGAGAAGAATGAATGAAAAGCAATGAATAAAAATTCTGAGAAATATGGGACTATGTAAAAAGACTGAACCAGCCAGGCACGGTGGCTCATGCCTGTAATCCTAAGACTTTGGGAGGCTGAGATGGGTGGATTGCCTGAGGTCGAGTTCAAGACCAGCCTAGCCAACATGGTGAAACCCTGTCTCTACTAAAAATACAAAAATTAACTGGGCATGGTTGCAGGTGCCTGTTATCCCGGCTACTCTAGAGGCTGAGGCAGGAGAATCGCTTGAACCTGGGGGTGGGGGTTGCAGTAAGCTGAGATTGTGACACTTTACTCCAGCCTGGGCATAAGTGTGAAACTCCATCTCAAAAAAAAAAAAAAAAAAAAAAAAAAAAAAAAAACCTTAAGCTGCAACTGATTGGAGTACCTGAAAGAGATGGAGACAATGGAGTCTAGTTGGAAAACATACTTCAGAATATCATCCAGGAGAACTTCCCCAACCTAGCAAGACACGCCAATATTCAAATTCAGGAAACGCAGAGAACCCCACTAAGATATTCCATGAGAAGATCAACCCCAAGAAACATAATTATCAGATTCCCCAAGGTCAAAATGAAAGAAAAATGTTAAGGGCAGCCAGAAAGAAAGGCCAGGTCACCTTCAAAGGGAAGTCCATCAGACTAACAGTGAATCTTTCAGCAGAAACCCTACAAGCCAGAAGAGATTGGGGGCCAATATTCAACATTCTTAAAGAAAAGAATTTCCAACCCAGGATTTCATATCTGGCCAAACTAAGCTTCATAAGCAAAGGAGAAATAACATTCTTTTCAGACAAACAAATGCTGAGAGAATTCAACACCACCAGGCCTGTCTTGCAAGAGCTCCTTGCAAGGAAGGAAGGAAGCACTAAATATGGAAAGGAAAACATCACACTTCCAGTTACTACAAAAACACACTGAAGTACACAGACCACTGACACTATGAAGCAACCACATGAACAAGTCTGCAAAATAACCAGCTAGCATCATGATGACAGGATCAAATTCACACACAACAATACTAACCTTAATTGTGAATGCCCCAATTAAAAGACACAGAGTGGCAAGCTGGATAAAGAGCCACGACCCATTAGCATGCTGTCTTCAAGAGACCTATCTCACATGCAAAGACACGCATAGGTTCAAAATAAAGGGATGGAGGAAAATTTACCAAGCAAATGGAAAACAGAAAAAAGCAGGGGTTGCAATCCTAGTTTCTGAGAAATCAGACTTTAAACCAACAAAAATTTTAAAAGGACAAAGAAGGACACTATATAATGGTAAAGGGCTCAATTTAAAAAGAGCTAACTACCCCAAATATATGAACCCAATGCAGGAGCACCCAGATTCATAAAACAAGTTCTTTTTTAAAAAAAATATTATTATTATTATTATTATACTTTTAAGTTCTGGAGTACATGTGCAGATCTTGCAGGATTGTTACATAGGTGTACACATGCCATGGTGGTTTGCTGACCCCATCTCCCTGTCACCTACATTAGGTATTTCTCCTAATGTTATCCCTCCCCTTAAAAATATCTTTTTTTTTTTTTTGAGACAGAATCTTGCTCTGTCGCCCAGGCTGGAGTGCAATGATGCAATCTCAACTCACTGCAACCACCACCTCCCAGGTTCAAGCAATTCTCCTGCTTCAGCCTCTTAAGTAGCTGGGATTACAGGTACATGCCACCATGCCCAGCTAATTTTTATATTTTCAGTAGAGATGGGGTTTCGTCATGTTGGTCAGGCTGCTCTTGAACTCCTGACCTCATGATTTTTGGATAATTTGATAAACTGACTAAAATTTATATGAAAAGGCAAAATCCTAAGATAAAGTTCAAGAGATTAAGTGTGGCTTTGGAGTGGGGATATAGAGTGGGGTGAAATAAAGAGCTCAGAAGCAACCCACATAATTAAGCAAAGTTATTTTGCAGTTGAATAGAAGAGGAACTCATTAATAAATGGGTCTGGGACCATTGAAAAATGAAAAAGGATCCTTATGTTATACCTTACCAAAATATCAACATCAGGTGGATTTCCAGTGTAAATGTAAGCCAAAATTTCAAAACTTTTAGAAGAAAACAAATCCAAGATGTCCCCATGTTCCTAGATAACATAGTGCAGTGTGAATAAGAAAAAAACTCTGAAGCCAAGTTCAAATCTTGTCTCTACCACATAATAAATGAGGGACCTTGTTCATGTAACCTAATCTCTGTCTCCATTTCATCTGTGAATGATGGTAATAATTGTCCCTACTTCACAGGGTATATATGATGAAGTATATACAAATTACTTAAAAATAGCACCTGGGTCGGGGCACAGTGGCTCACACCTGTAATCCCCAAACTTTGGGAGGCCAAGGCAGACGAATCACCTGAGGTCAGGAGTTCAAGACCAGCCTGGCCAACATGGTGAAATCCCATCTCTACTAAACGTGCAAAAAAATTAGCCAGGCGTGGTGGCACATGCCCATAATCCCAGCTACTCAGGAGGCTGAGGCAGAGAATTGCTTGAACCTGGGAGGCAGAGGTTGCAGTGAGCTGAGATCATGCCATTGCACTCCAGCCTGGAGGACAAGAGTGAGACTTCGTCTCAGAAAAAAAGAAAAATAGCACCTGGAATGAAGTAGTACAATGCGTTATAACTAACCCTGTTACTCTTATTATAGTGCTTATTACACTGTTTCTCTTGTACCATGATTAGTTTCTTCTCTGTACAGAAGGTCAAAAAGAGAAAGGAAGAAATCCTTTTTTAATTCTTTGCTCCGATGATTCTACCCTTCATGATTAAATATATGCAGAAGCTCTGATCCTTAAGTTTCTATTGCTTCTAGATGAACATGGGACTCACTATCAAGGGTCTAATCAGTTTGAGACCTTCAGCTTCATGGCTGGGTACCCAAGCACTCATTGTTCAACTCAACAGCTAGTAATGTCCAGTCCTGGCCCTTGGGGTAGGTGGGCTCAACCCTCTCAAGTATCAAGCCCAAAATATAACATCAGGTGATACCACAACTATCCTGCCTGCTGCTTGCTGCACCATGAAGTCTGCCAAGCTGGGATTTCTTCTAGGGCTCTTCATCTTCTGCTCACTGAATACCCTATTACTGGGTGGTATTGATAACATTGTTGAGAAGATATGTGGAGACCTCAAAGGTATGATGTTAAGGCAGAAAATAAATCTGAAGGTCAATTATGAATGAGGGAAAAGGTGCTGGGGGAAAAGTGTGTTATCTAGGTGATCCAGGAAGGTCTTCTTTTCATGGCAATACCCATAGACACTTAATCCCTTGGCTCAGGGCATTACCTACACTAGGGGTATTTTGGGTGTTTGATGAGAAAAAAAAACAGAAATGACACAAAGTCCTTTCCAGATGGAGACCTCTTTTAGAGGAGGTTCAAAGGACTGGAAGGATTTTGAATCAGGTTTTGTGAAAAATTTCAAAGATCCCAGACCATTGAAGAGTATGTATTGGGATGAGACAGAAAGGGGGTTGGGGACTGAGAAAATTAAGACATTTTCAGTAACTGGGCTATGGGCATATACAGAAATCTTGGACAGATGATTCCTGTTTAGAGGGGCTCACAGTGTAAATGTGAGAGGCAATGAGACTTTCTTCCATAGACAGTGTGGGCAGGCTCAGCGCTTCCAGGGGACAAGAAAGTGGCACAGTGTCCACAATAAGTCAGACACTCCAAATTCTGGCCCTGTGACATAGCAAATGTGTGCCTTGGACAAGTCACTCAACCACATATTATGCTCTTAGTCTCAGTTTCCCCATGTGTACAATGAAAATCAGAAAAGTACCTGCTGCAGAGGGTATTTGTGACTGTGAAATAAGATTATGCGTATAACTTTACCAGAGAGTAAATTCCAGACTGGCTGCCTGAGTAAGGTGGGTTGTGTTGTCAATACAACCATGACTGTGGCTGTTCCAAACACTTACTACCCAACTCCCAACAATAAAAGCAGAGGGTTTAGCTCGGGGAAGGCAAGAAGGGAGAAGATGACAGGGTGTGAGGATGAAAGAGCATCACCCCAAGGTCATGAATTTTAGCATTTTAGTATACATCCTGCTTTGAGGATAGCAGCGGGCATGGTTACCTAAATTTGGAAGTATACATATATAGTGAATGTATGAAAACTGGGGAGGAGGCATTCTGAATTGCATGTCCTGTGTGGGCAATTAAAAGGAAAGGAAGATGATGTGAAGAAGCAGGAGGATACTGTACTTTAATAAACTGTCAGATATAAAATGTAGGGAACCTCATCGCCCTGCACAAGCTAGTGGTGCAACCTCCTTTCTCACTGATTGCAACTTCTCGTTTTTCCGGACATTGCTCACCACAACAACCTGGAATTGTAACAATTTGCATTGTGCAAGGGCAATCTTGCCAAGTAACTCTAATTCCAAGAGAAAACCAGATGTCCTTGAATATGAGACACATAAAAAACAAGAGTCCATAAATATGAGAATACTTTCAGGCTAAAGCTAGGAATTTTTAAGGGCCCAGAAAGATAAGTTATCCTGCTGAGTCCTAACCAATTCCCACTAACTCAATGGGAACCTCTCATGCAGATCCCTGCAAATTGGAAATGAAGGCTGGAAGCTGCTATGAAGTTCACTTTAGATTTTTCTACAACAGAACCTCCAAACGATGTGAAAGTTTTGTCTTCTCTGGCTGTAACGGCAACCTTAACAACTTCAAGCTTAAATTAGAATGTGAACTAGCCTGTGTTGGAACAGTCAAACCACAGTAAGGAATCTAATCCTGTCCTTGGTCCTTCGGGGGAGTAAAAGAAGAGGTGTTGACATCCTAAGATAAAGAAAATTGATCCGGGGCTAACCTTGCTTTGGATGGGAAGATAGAGGACTGCTCTAATAAAAAGTTTTAACGGTTGGGTTGGCCGGGCATGGTGACTCACACCAATAATCCCAGCACTTTGGGAGGCTGAGGCGGGTAGATCACCTGAGGTTGGGAGTTCAAGACCAGCCTGACCAACATGGTGAAACCCTGTCTCTACTAAAAATACAAAATTAGCCAGGCATAATGGCACATGTCTGTAATCCCAGCTACTCAGGAGGCTGAGGCAGGAGAATCGCTTGAACTGGGGAGGCAGAGGTTGCAGTGAGCCCAGATGGCACCATTGCACTCCAGCCTGGGCAACAAGAGCAAAACTCTGTCCCAAAAAACAAAGTTGGGTGGGCTGTCAGGATCATTTGCTCATTTTACAGTCAGAAAATCAAATGACCAGAGAGAAACTAATAGCCACCATCTATTGGACAATTACTGTGCATCAGGCACTGCACTAAGCAATTGACATATATTGATATAATTTTAAATTATATCAAGGTGGATTTATATCACCATTTTTATGTGACAGATGAAGAAACCAAGCACAGTACAAGTAACCAAGCATCCTGAGGTCACATTATTAAATGGCATACCAACGTTTCTAACCAGAGCTGTAAGTCACAATGGTCATGACCATCTTACATGTACAAGGTCACCCAAACCAAATTCTTGCACTCTCATACCTTTGAACTCTCCATAGCAACTTGCTGCTTTATACAACTAAGTTCCCCCCCACACTTGACTATTTCCCCATCGTTGGAAATAGAAGGTCAATGGTGCCTAATAGGGCTGTGGTTTGGCTGATTCCCAGGAGAATTCGCTGGAGAGTGGCCTTAGGGGTAACTCAAAAGCAGAAATGTTGTTTTGCTTTGTTTATTTTATATTCCTAGTGGATCTTTGCAGTGCCTGGCACATAGTAAGCAATGATTAAGTTTTAAGTGAATGAAAAAGTGAGAGATTAATCAATAAAATAAGAAAAACATTGAGATAGAAGGCATCCTCTGTGCTTTCCCTAGGATAAAAATGACCTACATTGGGCCGAGTGCGGTGGCTCACGCCTATAATCTCAGCACTTTGGGAGGCTGAGGCGGGCAGATCATGAGGTCAGGAGTTCAAGACCAGCCTGGCCAACATAGTGAAACCCCATCTCTGAAAAAAAAAAAAAAAAAAGACCTACATTAATCCAGGGAGACCTTCCAAAACCTATAACACAGATTTGTATTTTTCTTAAACAGGAGTTGAGAAGATGTGAACTCATGAAGTTGTCTGATACACCATCCAAAATAAAGATGCAAGAAAATTCAGACCAATCTTGAAATCTTTGTAATATTTTGATAATCCTTTAAGCTTCCATCTGTTTGCTATTTTCCTGACCTGGGTTTTGTCTTTCCCAGAAAATAACTGTATGGTCATTAGAATGAGTCTTTGTGTCAGCCCTGGCTCTCTTAGTTTCTCTCCACTTGTCTTATCTAAATTTGCAGAGCTGAAATGTCAGCTGGTCCCATCCATTGGTTCCCCCCTCACTCCTGAGCCATCCCTCACATATGCACACTTAGCTTAATTTATCCTAAACTGTTTCAGGTTTGACGAACCAAATCTGTACAGGTTTGCATCACCGCCCCTGTCAAATTGAACTGGTTAGTGGAACCAAAGTACCAAACCTATAGTCCCTTTGGATCTTGAAATCAAACCTAGCAGTGAACCACACACTTATGTGAAATGTCCCTGCACTCATAACAACTTTTTCTGTGTCATATTTCCTGTTCAAGTCCCTCAATTAGTTTAATGATCTCCCAACCTGGTCCCTGTTTAGGAGTAATTATATGGGCCTCTGTCATTGCTATTTGACTCAGTTATTGACAGTCCTTCTGGAAAAGTAATCCTCAACTTCAATCCAGTGACTGTGTTTCAGCTACCAAAACATGATCATCCAAACAGGGGTTCCCACATCTTCTTCATATAATGCTACAAGGTTTGTCATGACCACGATCAGCCCAGCTGTAAGATTTACGGTATGACCATTTCACCTCTGAATTTTTTCAGACATCCCAGCTGATCCTGCACTGAAGTCAAAAAGCCTATCCTGGCACCTGTTATTACCCTCTGCATACCTGCCATGTCCATATTACAGTCAAAGGCCAATCCCTCACCTGTGAATCACAACCTGGAACACTGGTAGCTAGGGCCGACATTGTAAACCAGGGAGACCATAACTAGACACACAAGCCTGATCTCTGCTCCATCTTAAGACTAAGAAAATCAATGCCTTAAATTAAGATGCTTTTCTGCAAAAAATTTTCTTAACTACAAGATCGTACCCTCAACCAAACAGGGTTTACTCTGAGCAGGTAAGTGCTAATAACCCAGTTGATTCTGGCATATTTCAACTTCGGTGAAGACTCTAAAATTATAGATCACTCTTGAGCCCCGCCAGCCGCAAGACCCTAAAATAAGAGAGATGAGACTAATCCAATTAGTCCACATACATGCAAGTTCTGAGATTTTCCTGTTAGGAATCATGAAACTGGGTGTCCCAGAAGCAGACAGTCTTTCAGGGACAAGATATCATATTCCGGGAGCCTGTTTGCTTCCTACTTCACCCAACTCCTTGAAAAGTCAAGAAGTAAAAATGAGGTGTACAGATATGAATAAAGTCAAGACTAAGAAACCTCTAAGGAAAGAAGGCAATTGTATCCTGTGAGAAGAGGAAACAGATGCCCAGTATAGATTGCTGAGCACCAAAGATGGGATAATGATTGAATAAGAGCTTTTGAGGCTTTTGATTTGTGTTACTCTCCCTACCCCAAAGATCTGGATCAGTCATTGCCTGCTCTCTTGCCAAATCACTAACAGCCACAAGATACCACAGGACTGTTTGAGATAACATAATGGTCGTTCCAGAGTTCAGCTAGAGTGAGACGTATAAAAACAGGTGCAACTGAGCTAGCCAGACACAGAGTTTACTGTTTTCCCTTCCTCCTACATACACTAAGGTTTACGTGACTAAAACTAAGAGGAAGAAAGATTCATAGAAAATACATCTAGGACCTAAGTGTAGATATTTTCTCTGGTTGGAGGTTGGGGGAGGAAGATAGGGAAATAACGTTATTTAGGAAGAAGCAAATGGGAGTAAGAAAGCCCAGATTGTATTATTGTAAAGTCTCTTCTCTGGAATTATCTACCACCACCATCCTTGAATCTACCAAGAGCAGCACAAGTTAAAAGACCTGGACTTTGGGGAGCTAAGCTATTAGGGTGCAAAGGCATAAGAATGAGGCTGGGTGCAGTGGCTTATGCCTGCAATCCCAGCACTTTGGGAGGCCAAGATGGGTAGATCACCTGAGGTCAAGAGTTCAAGACTAGCCTGGACAACATGGTGAACCCCTGTCTCTATTAAAAATATTAGCTGGGCATGGTGGCAGGCACCTGTAATCCCAGCTACTTGGGAGGCTGAGGAAGAGAATTCTTAAATCCTTAAACCTAGGAAGCAGAGGCGTTAGGTGCATATACATTTACAATTGTTATATTATCTTGCTAACTTGAGACATTTATTATTATATAATGTCCTCCTTTGTCTACAGCTTTTTACATGAAGTCTGTTTTGTCTGATATAAGTAGATATATTCCTTACTTTTGTTTCCCTTGGCATGGATTATCTTTTTTCATTCCTTCACTTCAGTGTATGTGTCTTTACAGCTGAGGTGAGTTTCTTATAGGCACCATATAGTTGGGATTTGTTTTTTATCCATTCAACCAGTCTAAACCTTTTAAATGGGAAATTTAATTAATTTACATTCAAGATTATTATTGATAGGTGAGGACTTAGTCTTGTCATTTTGTTGATTGTTTTCTGGTTTTTTTGTATTTCCTTTGTTCCTTACTTTCTCTCTTATTGTTTATTTTTACAGGTGAGAGGTTTTCTGTAGTGGTAAGATTTGATTCTCTTTCTCCTCTGTGTATTGGCTCTACTAGTGAGTTTTATCATTTTATGTTTCCATGATGATGGTTATTGTCTTTTCACTTCCCTTGAGCAGTTCATGTAAGGCCAGTCTAGTCATAGTAAATTCTTAGTTTTTGCTTTTCTGTGTAAGAGCTTATTTCTCCTTTTTTTTTTTTTTTTTTTTTTTGACAGAGTCTCACTCTGTGACCTAGTCTTGAGTGCACTGGCACAGTCATGGCTCACTATGCAGCCTCAACCTCCTGGACTCAACCAGTTCTCTTACCCAGCCTTTTGGCTAGCTGGGACTACAGGCAAATGCCACCATGCCCAGATAATTTTTTCTATTTCGGTATAGACAGGATCTCACATGTTGCTTAGGCTGGTCTTAAACTCCTGGGCTCAAGTGATCCACCTCAGCCTCCCAAAGTATTAGGATTACAGGCATGAGCCTTGACACTCAGCCTGTCCTTCATTTCTGAAGGAAGCTTTTCTTGGTATTATATTCTTAATTGGCAGGGTTTTTTTTTTTTTCTTTCAGTACTTTAAATACATCATACCATTCTCTCTTGGTCTGTAAGGTTTATGCTAAGAAATCCGATAGTCTAATGGAGATTCATAGCTAATGGAGACTCCCTTACACGTGACTTAATGCTTTTCTCTTGCTGCTTTTAAAATTCTTTCTTTGTCTTTAACTTTTGACAGGTTGACTATGATGTGCCTCAGAGAGGACATGTTTGGACTGACTCAACTTGGGGTTCTTTGAGCTTCCTGGACCTGAATGTCCATCTCTCCCAAGACTTGGGTAGTTTTCTGACATTATTTTATTAAATATGTTTTCCTCACCTTTTCCCTTTTCATCTCTTCCTGAAACACCCATAATGCACATATTTGTGCACTTAATGGAAAATGGAATTCCACAAATCCTGTAGGCTTTCTTCATTCTTTTTTCCTTGTCTTTTCTTATTTTAATCTGCCTATGTTATTTCAAAAGTCCTCTCTTCAAGTTCAGAAATTTTTTCTTCTGGTTGGGCTAGTCTGTTGTTGAAGTTCTCAATTGTATTTTTTATTTCATTCACTGAATTCTTTAGCTCTAAGTTTATTTGGCTCTTTTTATGACATCTATCTCTTTGTTGAATTTCTCATTCAAATAATGAATTCTGTTCCTAATTTTGTTGACTCATCTATCTGTATTTGCTTATATCTCAGTTTCCTTAAGATTATTATTTTGAATTCTTTTTTAGCATGTCATATATTTCCTTATGATTAGGAGCTTTTACTGGAGAATAATTGTTTTCCTTTTGAGGTGAAATATTTCCTTGCTTTTTCATGGTTGATGTGTCCCTACATTGATTTCTATATATCTGATAGAAAAGTTGCCTCTTACAATTTTATAGAGTAGGTTTCATAGGGAAAGACTTACTCATTTGAATGGGTGTTGGTTCAATGAAGTTCATTGGCCTTGGTTCTAGGTGGATGAAGTAGGATAGTACCACTTAGTTTCTTCTACCTTAACTCACACTAATAGTGTTTGTAAGTTTCTCAGTGGCCTAGAATTTGTGATAAGAGTGGTAAGCTTTGCCAGACATGGGATTTCTAGGCTGTTTCTCAGGTCAGGAGTGCATGTGTGCACATGGTGGGCCAGCCAACTTGGGGTTGGGATCACAGAGCTGTTATTCTGGCTGAGTGCAAGGGCACACAGTTGCTCAGCCAACCTGGAGGTGTGCCCACCAGGAGTAACCCACACGGCTGTTTCTCAAGCCCAGGATATGGGTGTACAGCTACTTGTAAAGAAGTCTTTACTGAAAGAACAAATCACCTAGCTGACATATGGAGTGATTCCCTTCAAGCATAGTAACAAATCAGTGTCTTAGCAAACTAGACAGTCAGAAGGTAGAAGTCCCTCTTGTTAAACTTATACAAAATTTCCAGCCTCAAATTCCTTGAAAAAAATGTTCTGATATTTCCTTTATTATATGGCCAGACCCTTATCCACTGCCCAAAAAATCTACGACCATTGCCCCTACCACATGAAATGAATGAAGACAAGTTCATTTGGGTTTGTTTGGGCTGTTAGAACAAAATACAGTAGACTGGATGGCTTATAAGCAATAGAAATTTCTCACAGTTCTGAAGACTGAGAAGTCTAAGATCAAAGTGCCAGCAGATTTGAGCTCTTGTAAGACCTCTTTCTTAGTTCTTAAATGGCAACTTCTCCCTGTGCTCTCACATGGTAGAAGGGGTGAACAAACTCACTTGGGCTCATTTTAGAAGGGCACTAATATCATTACTTAGGGCTCTGACCTCATGACATAATCACCTCCCAAAAAGTCCCATCTCCTAATACTATCATCTTGGAGTTAGGATT